TTTTTTTTTTTTTAAGTAAAAGTTCAGAGAAACTTCAGTAGAGTATGACCCCTTCAGACTACAAAAAAATGTGTAATGAATATAGAACTCATAAAAACTAATAAAATAATGCTGTGTTTGACTTTTTTCTGCTTTATGAAAAAAAGCTACTTAATGGCGAGTTTCAAAGAAAATATCTTGGCCATTTAAAAAAAAAGTTTGTTTTATCCAAAATGCCAAAAGAATTAGTACTTTGTACAAGATTATGTATCTTAATATAAAGCCAACTGATGTTTGGAACTTGGAAAACAAGCATCTTAAATAGAACCTTTATTTTGGTGACGCTGTCCCCTCTATAACTGACCACATCACAGGGAGGCAGCATTTTTGCTGCAACGGGGCTAAGAAATGCCCATCATCCACTTATCTTCTCTGTGCAAAGCCCTTTTACTCAAGTTTTACACAAGAAAACAAATCTCTTTCCTCTGTTACTTAAAATAAAATAAAAAAAGACACCAAAACAACTCAGGGAATTTTAACGATGTTTTGTAAACATGTAAAAAAGGCAACAGGCTGACTACTTCTATCCCAAGTTGAACCTGTAATTTGAAATCCCTTTGAAAATCCTGAACATGAGGATACATGCTTAACAAGACCTTCTGCAGCCTACCTTAGGAGAGTAGCTACAGAATACTGTATAGAAGTTGAGCAGTGAGTGGCATTTTACAGTAAAAGTCAGACCATAAATATAAAAACAGAAATAAAACAAAAAGCTCTGAACATTGTGCATATGAACTTTAGTTTTGTTCTTTCAAATGAGAAATAAGGGTTTAAAACATGCATCTCGTTTTAGAATGTTCTAAGACTTTTTCCAGTTATGACAGAACAATTCTGACAACCAGCAGGTGGTGTTTGTGCAATTGTCAGCTAGTTCTCTGCCCCTGGAGATGAAATGCAAAACTTCACCTGCCATAGTGGGGTTTGGAAGCAAGACTGATTCTCCAAATCAACTGCATCATTAAGCTTATTTCATACTGGTGGTTTTGAGCAGAACTAAGCAGAGTCAAGTCGAGGATACACAAAATGCAAGGGATTAACAGAGAAATAGGACTCTCAAAGAGGATAGGAAAATTTTAGTCAAGTTTTCAGATCATTCATTAACTAAACCACTATTTTTCTAAAGTTCTAATATTTCTCTTTGGACTGTGAAAGTCTTTTAAACTCTTAGATAAACTGAACTACTGCTATAGATGCACAGTAAAATATGTTTAGTTGCTACTCAAAATTAATCTTTGAACTGGTGCTCATTTGAATCTACAATTTTATCCTCCCTCAAAAACAAAGGAAGGGTAAAATGAAAGCTATACTAAGCATCGTAAAGATAGTTGATAGATATGAGGGAAAAGATTAATGTCTAGTTCTGGTAAAGAAAAGGAACCAGCAGAAATGGGGTTAATTCTAGCCTTAAAAGGAAGCCTGTTCAACACCACACTTCAAATGAACACAAATTAGAACGACCCTGGGAATCTATAAAGCCATGTTTTATTACCAAGGATCTGCAGGAAGATCTGCATTAGCTGCAAAACAATGACACTCATTTATTTAGGATGTTTAACAGAATATGATTTTATATGGATTTTTTGTTACTGAATTGTTCAGCAGGTGACATTCAGTGCAGCTTGGTATCACCTAAATAACATTAAAAGTTTTGACTGCTGGTATAGCTGAAATTAACATATCCACTAACAGTGTATCTGAATATAAACCAGCCTTATGGCGTTTGGAAGAAAATCAGATCCGAACAAATGACTATGGATGGACACACAGGAATTAAAAGGTAAATTCTAACACTTTACATAGCTACAAACAATCTAATCGTTGAGGGTATTGGTTTGGTTTTTGGTGGACTTTTATGCATAGTTAGATTATCTTTACAGATCTACCTTTCTGAAACATTAATTTTTTAAAATATTAATGTCCCCTTCATTGCATCTGAAGCAGTTTATCATCTCATTCAAGAACAAAAATTGTTTCTATTACGAATATTTCAGAAAAAGGCAACAATTCAAATATACATGGCATGTTTAGATCTCTAATTGAAAAATCAAAATGACCTCTGATAAGCAAAATTTCATAAAAATGCTTTTGTATGAACAAAGACTTGCATTGCAATAATGCCTCAAAATATATCCTGCTAATTACTAGCAATAGCTGGAATGATTTTTAAGTTATTAAGCCAAAAAATAAATTTCATAGAAGATATTTTAATTCTGTCCAGTTCTAATAGCCTGATCTTTTTCTCTCCTGGGAATGTGCACCACCAGTATTTTAAATCACTAAGATTTTAAAATAATAAAAAGATAAAGCATCTATTAATTCATGTATTTATCCAAGCATATCTTTGCATGTGTTCTACAGGTATACATTTTCACTTTTATAGTACAGAATAGAATGTATTCATCTTATTACTAACAGGTTTATTACTTTTAAAACAAAATTATATAAAATCAACTATAAAAATATTTAAATTTACCAGTTTCTTGCCTCTTTTTTTTTTTTTAACTTGAAAACTTTTGCCAAGATTTCAAGTTTACATACATTTACGTTTATAAAGTTCTTATTTTTCACCTTGGTGTGTTGTTTTCAACGCCATTCCCATTATGGAAATTAATGCAGTATAATTTATTGCAAAGAAAATAAGGTTAAACATGAAGATGGTGTAAATTAATACAAATTCACATTATCTCTTAGTTTTTAAAAGATGTCTTTTCCTTCTGTCTCTTTCTCTGCAAGCAGAAGGTACCAAGGGCATTTCATCTGTCTAGATTTTTTCTAACATTTTTGCAGCCAAAGCCTATGCTACTTAATAAGCTTGCTATTTGACTAGGAAAACAAAGAATATGATACATAGGAAAGTTCCTCTCTTCTACTCCAGAGATTGATGGGTCAACTTCACTGATTTATCCCCCTCTCATATTTATCAATGTTAAGAGTTCCTGATTAGCACACAATGTTTGATCAGGTTGCTCCTAATAATCTCTCTCTCTCATGTACATTAAATGCTTTTTTTGCTGAACATTTGTTTATATGTATTCAAGCATCATGTTCCTAAACACACAATCACTTGTGTACGTAAGTGTAAACCCCCGATCCATATACCATAGAATGCCCGAGCTTTAAAAAAGTTAAAATAAATCATCTAGGCATGAGTTTAATAATTTTTCATTTACTAATTGCAGGTCCAAGGATATTCAGTAATTGTTAAAAGGAATCAACGAACCTAAAATACTACCATTTTCCAATCTGCAAGAAGGAACATTTGTGAAGAAACATTTGTGTATGTGCAATTCAATGACCATAAAGTTCAGAAAGGTCCTGCACGATCTGAAACATAAATTTTCTCATTTGCTTTGTGCATGGCATCTTACAAATAGCAAATTTCTGAAACAGTTTACTTTTCTGTAACTGATAAATTTCAGCCAATTTCAAGCCTAATTGGTTTGGCTTCCATTCCATTTCCAAACAGATTAAACATTTTATACAAAAAAAGTAAACCTCTTTCCAAATCCTTAAAATGCTTGCTGTAACCTCTTTGGAAATCCCAACAATTTAACCATTTTGGCACTGAAAGTCAAAGCGTGAATACCGATGTAATCTTTCCAGCGGAGATCCTAACCATGGAATCTTACACAGGAGCAGTATCACCATTTATTTGTAACAGCACACCTTTTGAACTAAATGGATCACACTTATGTAATGAAAGCATGTCTTCTATCTTGGCTGATAAATCAGAAGAACACCAACAATACATTATTGGGCTTTTCTTATCATGCCTTTACACTATTTTCCTTTTCCCTATTGGCTTTGTGGGAAATATTCTGATTTTAGTTGTGAACATAAGTTTTCGGGAAAAGATGACTATTCCTGACCTGTACTTCATAAATCTTGCAGTAGCTGATTTGATTTTAGTTGCTGACTCCCTCATTGAGGTTTTTAATCTTGATGAAAAGTATTATGATATCACTATAATTTGCACTTTCATGTCTCTGTTCCTTCAGATCAACATGTATAGCAGCATTTTCTTTTTGACATGGATGAGTTTTGACAGATACATAGCACTTGCAAAAGTAATGAGGTCCAACATATTTCGGACTATGCAGCATGCTAGATTAAGCTGTGGCCTCATATGGATGGCATCTATCTCTGCAGCACTAGTGCCATTTACAGCTGTACATTTGCAGCACACTGGAGAGGTCTACTTTTGTTTTGCAGATGTAGAAGAAATCCAGTGGTTAGAAATAACCTTGGGGTTTATAATTCCCTTTGTGATCATCGGTCTTTGTTACTCATTAATTGTTCGAGTTCTTATAAAAGCACACAAACACAGGAGTCTTCGACTACGGCGCCAAAAGGCTCTTCGAATGATTTTTGTAGTCGTCCTGGTTTTCTTTATCTGCTGGCTACCTGAAAATGTCTTCATTAGCGTTCAGCTTCTTCAAGAGAAAGGAAAGACTCTCTCTTCAGGCAACCAATCTTTTCGGCATGATTATCCCCTAACAGGACATATTGTAAACCTAGCAGCCTTTTCTAACAGTTGTTTGAACCCTCTGATTTACAGTTTTCTAGGTGAAACTTTTAGAGACAAATTACGGTTGTATGTTGAACAGAAAACTAAAATGTCAACGTTCAGTCGTTTTTGTCATGCTGCCCTAAAGTCAGTCATTCCTGACAGTAATGAGCAATCAGAAGTTTAATTTAGTAGTGCTGTATAAAAACATAAGTGAAAATTGCACAAATATAGAACAAAACGCTTGCTACTAACAGTAAAATATATGTATATATAATACCCTGCTGAGTATTGAAGGTTTATACTCTAAATATTTTTATGACAAGACTTGAAGGTGGAAGAATACATTTTAGTCAAATTTATATTTAATTATCAACAGGATTACTAAAGGCTGACAAATAAGGGGCCTTTAGTTTGCATTATACATGTATGAAGGATAATTTACCAGAAAACATTATCAGACTAGGAAGAATCGAGATAGCAAAGGAGCTATTCTCTGATAATTGAGTTGTCATATGCTAGGTGTTCCCATTTAAATAATGAAGCTGCCACAACAGTGGGAAAAAACTCATTACAACACATTGATGTGGAGGTGCAGAAAAAAGTTATTGATTTTCCATCCAAATATAGCCATTTGACAACTTTGCTAAGAACTACTGTGCTGTATGTACACAGTGTTGGATATGCTTTCTGTTCTAACATACATTTCAGGCATTGATTTTTTTGTTTCTCTTAATGTAATATAGAACTAGGATGAAGATTTTCTCTCTAGTTTGTAATGTTCACATCAACACTTCATCAAATCTGAAGTCACGCATAGTATCCTGCTCACCTTTATTACCTTAGCTCAGAGAATCCATCAAAACAAAATTTACTGCTTCATTTTATTTTTGAATATTGTCCATAGGAAAATGAGGGTCTTTTGTCACAAGCACAAACTACAGATTAAAGTGTCCTAATTAATGAAACTACTGCTATCTTCATTTAATTTGTGTGTGTGTATGTGGTGACTGACGTAAATGTGTTTGTGTGTGTGTGTATTTACACACATTTAAATTTTAATATTGTAACACTGTCTTGGTTGTAAGAATGGAATATTGGGTTTTTTGGTTTTTTTTAAACTTGCCTTCTGCAAAAAATGACAGTGTAAGAAACGCCCATTAAAATGTTGGAAGCCTCATTATTTTTGGAATCACACAATTTCTGCAACTGAGAAAATGATGAGCCATCAAGTCTTTTTCCAAATCCACTGGCCTTTCTGGATCTTAGATACCTGCTGGCTTCTTTGTGGATTTTCTCCTTCACAGAAAAGTCATATCAAGAAATAAAATCTTAGAGTTACGCAGTGGATTGGGGGGGGGGGGGCGATGGAACTTTTCCAAATTCTGCCAGCCTGAGCTTTGAACTCAGATGCCCTGGCATATGACATGTAACAGGTTACTGCAAAGCCTTCACACAAGGTGCTATCAAGTCTTAAAGATCACCTTACGACCACTAAAAAAACCTCATAAACATTAAATCAGAGCAGCACTGAAATATTACTTGTTATGTCTCTGAAATGCACAGAAGACTTACTACACATATACAATCGCCTCTCTATGTTCAGGCAGTTACACACGCAAATCTCTCCAAACTGAGATAAGAGCCCTTCGTTCCTACTTCTCGTGTATTCTACATGAGCATGGTTATGACATACGAACAAGGGTTTTTTAGATCATTTTAAAGAACATTTCTCATGAAATTACATTTCTTCTGAAATACTTGAGCTTCTTAATGGAAGCTGCAGTCACAAAGGACTTGACCAATAGGTACCTAGGTGCAACTGGTTGATGGGTGGATTAACGACACATTTAGCTAGATAGATATTCCTCAAATTGATTTACATGAAAACTGTATGTTGGTGTTTCCTATACCTGTTTGTTCTGGTGTTATTTGCATATTTTCGTCATCCACAGCATCTAAGGAACAATTTCACTTTTGCACATCTTTCCCGTGGGAGTGTGAATCCCTCTCCTCTCAGGGAGGACGTCTGGCTTTATCATGACTTGTACGTGTAGAATGCGTTGCTATACAACACTTAGCAACAAATCTCCTATATTTCTGCTATCTAACATGTGGTATTCTGTCCTTTTCCCACCCACTTCCATCTCTGTAATTAACCAACATTATTCACCAGCTATTGATTTGTCAGTGTATATTAACTTCATCATGGAAAGATTGGCATTTCAACTGACATAGAATCAAAGGAATGGATTCTTCTCTCAGGTAAGCACTGCAAATGATAAAAGTCAGCCACCACTCATGCATGTAGAAAAATCCTGGATTCTTCCTGGCAAATGACAAAATATCTTATCTGTAGTAAAAAAAAAATCCCAACCCAAACCAAAAAACAATACCATAGATCAGTGATTTGATTTGATTTAAACTCACAAGAGGATTGCCTATTCTGTTTTTGGAGACCCAAAGGAATGTTGTTTCTCGTTATTCATGGATTGTAATTATATCTGTTGGATCTATGTGTTGGAAGAAGGCCTTTTCATCAGCACGAACAGATTATACAAAAAAGAGAAAGCATTTATGTTCAAAGATCTACTGTGGTAGCAAATATTAGCAGAGCTCCCCTTCCTGTGCAATTAGCTGTTTCTACATTGTGACAAAGTTCCTCCTCTATCTTGGTGGGTCCTGCGCTTATTGGCGGATTTTCTTGCCTCAGAGGTTTACCATTTGGGTTGGGGAACAGAC